GAAGAAGACTGGAGTATACAACGGCCGAAACGTTGTAATAAAAATGGCGACAACGATGAGGACAATAGTCCAAATAATGTAAATAATGTCTAAAATAACAGTTAAAGAGAGGCAACTCTTGGTTAATTCAACCTTTCTTACTTAAATGCATATTTTCTTTCACATCATTGTTTGATATTGTACATCTTGTTAAAATACAGTCTTTTATCATTCCAGGTCACAGCTTTTCTTTCCCAGGTGGTAGCATCCATTCTGGGCTCAGATCGCAACTTTCTTTTTTACATGCCTGTGACAGTTAATCCTTTCTGCCCAGATCACAATTTTCACACTTGGGTGTAGACTATTCCTTTCTGATTTTGCAGTCAACTTTTCCCTCTTAAATAGCAAACATGTGACTCTGGCTAGATCAAAAACCAACTCCTTAGTAGGTGTGTACTTTTTATCCCCATTGATTAAAACTTGAGAATCATTATTCAATCAAAGCACACACATTTGCAATTTAAATTTAGCTGGTTTTTGACAACATCAAAGCCAATGAAAACCTAAAGTATATTTAAATTGTCTAGCTTCATTTTAGAATTTTTTTTTTTTTATAAAACAGCTATTTGGAGCTTCTTTTTTTTTTCATTTCTTTACACATCAATTTCCATTCAAGTTTTTTTTTTTTTTTTATAAGTTGTATGGCATCATTTTGACAGCTTATTTTTCAAAGAAATCATATTAGTAATATCCTAATTTTCTTAATTAATTTTTTATACAATTTTAATATTATCTGATTTAATAAAAAAAATTTTTACTTTTTTACATAATTCCTACATTTTTAATATTTACTTCTCATAAAATTTATATCTTATTGTTTTTATAAAAAATAATTTACATAATATCAAAACAGCAAGAAAAAAATCTACTAAAAATGAAATCTAGAATTAATTTAGAAATTTGTAAATGCAGTATGAAACAGATTGTAAGGAAGAGCAACTACAGGTAGTAATGGACAAGATTGCTGTTGGTTATCAGTTTTATAGTGTGAGCAGTTACTACTTATTATGAAAAATTAGGATGAAGATATTCAGTGCCTGGCTACATGAGAACATCTCTTTGCACCTTGTTGGTCTCACATTTTCCACTGACCTGAGGTGGAACAACTACATTGAATCAATAGCTTCATCTACCACATTTAAAATTGGTTCTCTGTGTCGCGCCAGAAGGTTTTTCTCGCCTGAGTCCATCCTTCAAATCTACAAATTAACCATTTGTCCTTGCATTGAATACTGCTGCCATATATGGTCTGGAGCCCCCACTATTCATCTAGAGGTCCTCAACAAAATTCAGATGGATATGCAAAGTGATAGGTCCTGATCTGGCATCTTGTCTCCAGTCACTTTCTTACAGATTTGCTGTGGTTTCCCTCTGTCTTCTATAAAAATATTTTCATGGCAACTGCTCTGACGATCTACTTTCGCTGGTACCCAAACTGCATGAATTTAAGCATGCTACTAGGTTGGAATCTCAGCCCCACCCCTTTGCTGTCAAAACAGTTAAATTTAGCCATCTCTTCTACTCCAACAGCTTCTTCTCTCGCACTTCCAAACAGTGGAACTCCCTTCTTTTTACTTGCTTTCCTGATAGCTAAAATATTCAAATATTCAAATGTAATGCCAATCGACATCTTCTGATGCCTTGATCTTGATCCCCGTCCTTTTCTTTAACCTTTCCTCAAGCACCCCCACTTCACTCTTGTTCTTACTCTCTGTAATCCCTTGTGTTCTAGTGGCACTCCCACCTTGGGGTGATATGCTTAAAAAAAAATGAATTCAACATGTCGAGGGATTTTTATACATATATTTTTTTTTATATAAAGAACAACATAGCCCCCAAAATAAGAAAAAGTAAAAAATTATATTTTTGTGTATGCAATTGGGTTAAAAAATGAAAGAAAAACATTTTAGCCTTTGCTGTTGGAAAATTTGTGCATAATTTGCCACATGGCTGGTTGAAATTAAGAAGGCAAATTTAACATTTTCAAAAGAAATGATTTTTTACACATGAAGAAATTTTACATATATGTTTTTATATAAAGAGTAACATAATTCAAGACAAAAGAAAACATACTTATGTGTACACAGATAGTTGAACAAGAACAAAAGTGAGTAAGAAGATTTACTGTCTCGTCCTTTTATAGCCTTAAACAGAACCACCCAACAGGCATGTTGGCAAACAGGTTGGGGGTAATTTCTGCAAAACATATGGTATAAAAAGAGAATTTTTAATCAACTGCTCTTGGTTGAGTATATTCAAAAACTTTAAGGATTGTATCCTCTGAAAAGATAAATAGAAGACTTTGCAACAGGCAAATAAGCTGACCTGTCTGCACAAATCTATGTCAAGTAATTTTACCTGAAGAGTGGAACAAAATGGCTACTGTTGAAAAGATTCAACGGCAATAGAAACTACAAGCCACCTTTCCAAATCATTAACTTTTATGGCTTTTTCTCTTGTAAACTGTAAGAAATGATGTTTGCCAAAATTTATGAACCTTCTGTATAACAGATATATGGTAATATTTCAGATAATTTAGTTTGAAAAAAATAATCTATAGAAATATACTTAGATCTCTACATAAAGAAAACATGTTTGTTTCAAAAATGTAAATAAATTACAATAAATTTAAGCATCAGGTTACTCTATGATTGCTATTGGTACCACATAACCCAATACTATGTGCCACATTTTTAGGCCAATGGCAACTAAACTGGTTCACTGACCAGGTTTACCTGGTGAGGAGGGTGGCTATACACCAAGCAGGATTAAAAGCAAGACCTGTCAAAGGGCAAATGTAGCTTTTTTACTGGATCAATAACACAATGGGGTTGACCAGGGGCTCTGTAGCTATAGATGTAGTCAGCACAGTGATATCACTGTATTGCTGGGTGAAGGGATTCCTAGATTAAAGTCAACAACCAGGATGGAAGTTTCTCCCAATGAAATCAATGGCCTTGTTTCTGTGATCAAGATGAGTCTTCATGTTGGAGGATGTGCAGTGCCGTTTGACCTGGAGAGGGGATGAATTACTTGCTCCAGACATGTGCATAACTGTATATACCTCCAGCTTTCAAGACAATAGATAATCATTGACTCTTGAATCAAACAGGTTAAGATTCTTGTATTCATGGAAGTATGCTCACAAAAGTCTGTTCCATAAAGCAGTTTTTAGAAAAGAAAATTTAGTGGTACTTTAACCTTGCATTTGGAATACAAAGGTAATAAGGGTGATTTGTCTCTGTGGATGTAGTATGGCTTGTCCTAGAAGTCGGGGTCTGAATTAGTGGGACTAATGAATCGACCTCATTTGAATACTTACCATGGAAAGAGTAACAGATTAGTTACAGGTTTTTTTGCATCTGGGTGAAGAAGATTACAGAGTGGAGAATAATTCATCCCACACAAAACTGTTTAAACGATTTTGTGAATCTGCCAAAGCTGGAAATTTGCAAGCCAGTTTTTTTCCCTATTAAACCATTAGAGCAAGTTGAGAGCATCTTGATGTTTGGAAGTGCATTTATAAACATAGATGCTTACTAATGATCTGAGAATGTTCCTCAGTAGATTGTGAATAAAAAAAGTAGTTAGGACCAAGGACAGAACGCTGCTGAAACTAGTTCTTTTGGGGGTCCAACATCACCAGGGATTTCTGTGTAGTATGCACCATGCCGGCCATGCAGATACACGATGTATATTATTTGTTGATGACCAACATTGTAACATCAGTTTAAAAATAATTTAAAAAATGGCAGATGGCCATAGAAAAGTACTGAAAAAAATGCCAGAGAACACAACAGAAAAAAAAAAAAAAAATGCATCCCCAACCCCAGTTTCAGGGGTAAGATGCACCAACCCTGAATACATCATCCCAAGCTTATTGTCATTTCTATAGCAAATGTTTTGATGAGCCTTTACATCTTAGGATATTTACATTAAAGGGTGGCAGGATGTGGCACAAGGCCATTTTTAACGCAGGGTCAAAACCAAGCAAGTGTGCGCAAACAAAAATTCCTCGTAGTCCCTATAAAAATGAGGTCGGGTAGCTGTCTACCTACCCAGACAATACTCTGCTCTTCGACATAGCCTTGTCTTGGTTCCTCTCTGCCCGAATGCAGAGAGTTCGACTGGCTTAGCTGGAGACGATTCTCCAACTAATTGCCGAAGCAAGCTCTCTTTACATCTAAGACCTACTACACGACATCCACTCTCATTGTCTTCATATTACATTTGTAAGGAAGAAGTTCCACTCAGAACTGCTATTTTTTAGAACAGAATGTCACATAGATGTTTCCCTAAGCACTACAATCTTAATCACTTCAGATCCAGGGTCAATCATTATTTATCCTCATAATTTTCATTGCTGACATTTTACATCCATACCACTCATCTCATTCAGTAATACTCTTCCTTGAGTGGCTCTTAAGCTTTTTATTGGGTGAACATAAATAGAAAATAAAAAAATGCTGAAAGGCACTTTCTGAAACATGTATAATTAAATGTAAGCTAATTTCAATATCAAAATATGGCAAAATATCAAGGGATTAACTGTTAAAAACTAACTTAAAAAAACTTTTAAATTCAGGAGCTTTTTATGCATTTTTCTTCTAGTGTGCATACTATACTAAATTTTAGTAGACCTGCTAAAAATTTTTCTTCAAAGTGCTTAATTTCTCTAAATTAAATACAACTAACCGATAATAAACAAAACTTCAAGCTTAATTTTGTCAATGACAATTTTTGTAGAAAAGAATATTGCTAGGTCATGTGACCACCTGTCGTAAATCGTTCTAAAGACAAACAGAACATTTCCTTTATATCCTTATAAATTAGTCTATGGAGGATTCAGTAATAATTATTTTCTTCGATTAATTCTGTTAAAAATAGGCAATTTTAACAACGTCCATATTTTTTTCGTGTATACCTTCCTTCCCATGTAACTTGGACGTTTTGACGTCATAATGAACGGTGACTGGTCACAACTGGCCAGTCTTGAAAAAGTCTCTGCTGAATATTTTGAAATTATCTCAAGATTATATAGTTATAATTTTATGGTTATTTTTAAACTTACAGCTCCATTGCACTGAATTTTTAATGAGGATTATATGAATAATGAAACTTTTATTTAAAAGATGCTGGAAATTAAAATTTTCAAAAGGTTATACAAAAGTTTTAAACAAAACAAGAAGAAATAATCTAGTTTTACTAAGATTCCCTATTTAAAGAAAAGTTTAAATAAAAATATATTAACTGTAATTATAAGGATTTTTTATTTTTAAACTTGCTGAAATTACTTATTTGTAGAAAGTTTATTTTTAAAATACACTCGGACATTTTTTAACTTGGAACTTTGATTTTCTTAACACCGGCGAAAAAAACGCGGTTATTGTCAGTGACAAGTGTTTTACACTATAACGAAGTGTTGGGTAAGTAAAAGTTATTGTTGCTGTATTTAATTTTTTAATGAAAATTTTGATTTTTTTTAAAAAACATAAAATTCATTTTTAGCACTGTGTACTTATTTAAATGCATTGATCGTAAGGATTATGAATTTAATCCATTTCTTTTAAAACAATAACAATGTTACTTTGTTCATACAGTGTGTAACTGTCTGTTAATTAATTAATAATGTCTCAATGTTAAAAAAAAAAAAAACATTCTTTTACTGGTCGGTATCTTTTGTTAATTAATATTTTATATGTATTTAATTTTCATATTTAAATAACTTTCAATTTAAATGTGTGGACAAAGAAGTATTTTTAAACGTATTTAATTTAAATTTTAATTTCATAGAACTTTTTAAAAGCTTATTTTTTGATTTAAGTAAATATTGATTTTTTTTATAACTTTAAAAAAATAAGAAATAAAATATCAACAAAGATTTCGGAAATTTTTACTGCATTTTTTTATTATTAAATTAAACGGCGGTCATGTGACTACTTTGTCGTAAGTTCTAATTTTAAAGCCGAGTTTTTTAAATTTTTATTTGTGCTTCACAACTTACTTAAAAAATCCAATTTAAGAAGATAAATCTTTTTTTTAAATTAAAATTGCCTGTCTTAATTATATAAAAAAAATACGTGAAAAAAAGTGTTGTTACTTTTTTCACTCAAGACAATTTGTATTTGTTTATTGACATCTTATGGGTCACGCCAGTTTTTTTTTTTTTCCTCTCTAGTAGCATGACTAGTATATTTTCTCATTTTTTTCATATATTTTTTATTCAATCTTTAAAATTAAAATAATTTTATTGTGCACGAATTATTTTATTGTCGTTTGCATAAAAAGAGATTTTTAGTTTTTCCCCACGTGGGTTTTACTTTTACAATTTGAAAACTGAACTGCGTGTGTGTGTTTATATTAGCTGAAAAAAAGTTATTTTTATCTCGATATAAGGTTCGTCCCTTTGTTTTTTGTTTTTTTTAATTCAGTCTAAGAAACCGTTTAAAAAAGTGAGTCCTCCGAAAATAAAGTTGTTACCATCAGCAGAGTCTTCCTTGAATAGATCTGATGTAATAATTACTGTGTAATTAAAAAAACATTTGGTAGAAAGATAACCTTTCTCCATTAGAATCAAGCAAGACTAAGAAAATGAAAAGCTTCAGTTCATTTTTTTAGATCTTGAAAACCGCGGGAAAATAAGTGCTTTCTTTTTATTTCCTAATACTTAAAAAAAAATCGACGTTCGACAAGGTACTTTTCGAAAAGCAAATTATTAGTTAGTAAACGTCTAGACTAATCATTGGTCACTAATGTTTAATTATTTACATTGGCTCACATTGTGAAAAATAGTATTATTTTTTTTTAAAAATGATGTAATATTTGTTGAATGAAACTGAAAGGAAAAGAAGTGTCTTGAACATATGAAATAAGTAAATAATGTTTTTTTTTTTTTTTTTTCTCAGGTTGATTATATTTTTTATTTACTAATTAACGTGAAAATAAAACTTTTGGTATCAAGTTTACATTTAAATGCGTACTTAATGACACAACCAAAACTACCACCATTTGTTCTGTAGAAAACATGGTGGTTGTTAAAAAAGGCTTTTTTACGCTGTTGTGATGTCGTATAAATAGTTTTGTTCCGCAAGAAGACAAGTGGAGTTGCATCAAAATGTGAAACATTTTTTTAATGTACATGTACACATTACCACCTCCCCTTTTTTTTTAAAAAAAAATGTGAGGGAATTATTAAGACAAGAAAAAGCGACGTGATCTTATTCTCTAAGTTTAAAAACAAACCGTAAGTCTTCTTACGATCTCAAAAAGATATGCATTTTTAAAATTTTTAAATTCATTTTTTTTTTTTTAATGAATTTAATACGGCATGTGTGTCCATGTGAGTTGATTTAAATGACTCCACTAATTGTTTCAGTACCTATACAAAAGAAAATTTAAACTTTTTAAAAAACTTTATTTTAGAAATAAAAATAAAATCCTTAAAAAAATCTTTATTACTTCCACTTATAATCTCAATATTGAGGGTTTTTTTTTTTAATTTCTTTATTTTTTCAGTGTTTAAAAAATCTTGTGTAATTTTTAAAGATATTGTTTACTGATCACATAATTTTTGTTATCGTATGTTTTGATTTTTGTCATGTGACCCGCCATTTTGAACTTCGGCGTCGCGGACAAAAAAAAACTAGAAAACTTCTCATCATGAGTGGGTAATGTTTTTCATGCATTTATTATTTATTTTCTGTTATCATTTTTTTCATTGAGGGAGATGAACGCTTGTTGGTTTTAAAAGTTTCATTTTTAATTAACCGTAGATTATACTTAGACATTTTTTTTCACTTTCAAACAAGTGGGTTATTTCATTGTGTAGCTTAATTGGTAAAGGTATTATCCGCGTTATCGTGGTTGAATTATTGAAAGAGTTGGTTCGAATGCCAATTTCTGTTATTGTTACCGCAGTGTTTCCATTTACCTGCAGAAAATATGAAACCAGAAGCAAGAGTTACCAGGAATGTTATCAAGAGCAAGAAAAAAGCAGAGTATTCCAGATAAGATAAGATAACAAGATAAGATGGCATTGCATTTAAATTTTTGAAGATTAAAATTAACTGGAAAATATGAAACCAGAAGAGAGTTCCACAAGTAAGAATGCAAAAAAGAAACTATTAGCATAAAACTTAAGTTACAATTAGGCAATTCAACTGTAAATTGATAAGACTTTGTTGCCAATTTAATACTGTGCTTAAATTTATAAAGTCTGGGTACCATAGCAAAGAGTTTATCTGAACAATTTCCATTAAGTTATTTATAGAAAAGGCACAGGGGAGCAACTTTAAGGTAATGGCAAAGTTACTGAAGCCAAGACGCCAGGTCAGGGCCAATAATATTTCTGATTCTTTGGATTTTATCAAGAATCTCTAAATATATAACAGGAGCACTGGACCATATGTAACAGCAATATTGTAAGTATGGATGAATGGTTGACTTATAGATATGTAGGATAGATTCCAGAGAGAAAAATTCTCTATCACAACTCAGTGAACCAACTTTCTTAGCTGACCTGGCAATGGGTTCAATGACATCTTTCCATTTCATGTCAGCTGAGAATGTTAATGTGAGAAGGCAAAACAAGTGACTTTCCTGGAAGTTAGCATTAGCCATACTGGTGGAACACAGAAAGGGGTCTCTCAGGTGATTAACAGAGAGCAGTTTTGTTTTGGAGGTGTTAAAATTAACAAGCTATTCTTTGCCCCAGTTAACAACAGACTAGGTCATTTTCAACATACTTTTTAAAAATTTTCCATTCTATCTTACTCTTTGTTGAAAAGATTCTAGGATACATAGGCATTGGTGTTTACATCCAGAAAATTTTACTACAGCAAGAATTGTTTCTTGAGTCCCTGGATGATTCTTTTACATGCTTTCAACATCATAGCACTCTGTTAGCTATCTCTTTTTTTTTTATCCCCCCTTCTCAGGAATGTAACATATTAGACCAAATATCTGACAATATTGAAATGGTTTTCGTGCTACATTTATCTACAAAAACTTTTGTGTTTGGTTATTTTAATGCTCATCATGTCAAGTGGCAATCATTTTAATGTTACTAATGCCCTTTCAATTTTTCAATTGCTCACTCTGTCAATCAAATAGACTTCCTTAATACTTCTGAGCAACATGGTTCTATATTTGATTTGTTCCTTACCTCCTCCTCTCCTAGCTCTTGTCAAGCATCACAACTCTCTTCTTTTGGCAATTAAGATCACACTGTAGTATCTGTTGATATTTCTTCTGAGCGGTCTATTAGACAGAAACCTCTTATTCACAAGACAACTTTCTATTAGCAGCATACTGATTGGAATTAATTTTGTGATTTTCTTTGAGATACCTTTTGGAGTGAAATTTTTAACCTTCCTTTTGAAAATTGATAGCGGTTCGGATTGAGGAATTGGAGAGCCGAATTTGAATTCCAGTTGAATCCTTACATTCACTTATGTGCTAATACCCTTAGGAAAGGTATGAATCCTCTTTTTCTCCCCCCAGCTATGGGTAAATAGCAGGACAGACCTGGTTCTGTAGCGTTGGATGGCAACTGGTCTACTGCAGAAAGAAATGGCAACCTACTGCAGGAAAAAATCTGCCTTGTCAGTCATGTATCAAAAGATGACACATAACTGGCTGACCACTGAGGATATTTCTTGGGTAAAAGCTGGCATCAATGCTTTTGTGCTATCTCAGAAATACCGGGTGAAACAGCTATCTTTTACTTGGTTCATACTTGTCTTTTCAACTGCTATAGCCCACAGGAACCACTTTTTCTGACTGTACTAATGTATGCCTCTTTGTAATAATTGTAAACGTGTCTTCAATGAGGTTAAGTCTTTGTTCCCTGATAGAAGTTTAACAAGTTTGGTTCTCATGATTACTGGCAGCTCTGTAATAGTGTGTTAAATAAGGGTAAGTCCTCTTTACTCAGTTTGAGCTGTTACCATCTTTTGCTGATAAAGCAGAATGCTTTGCTTGTAAATTTTCTTCCAGTTCTATTGACTCGTCTAGAATCTGACTTTCCATTTAGAACTGAGTCTCTACTGTGTTATATGCATATAACTCCATCTATGGTTTCTGCTATCATCTCTAAACTGGATCCTCACAAAGCATGCAGACTTGATTGGACTTCTACAATAGACCTAAAGAAATGTGCTCCTGAATTGGCTCATGTTTTCTCTGAAGTCTACAATAAATGCCTTTCTGCTTCTTGCTTTCTTACTTGTTAGAAATTCTCTTCTTCTGTTACTGTTTTTAAGAACTCGGATGACTCATCTGATCCTTCTATCTACCTTTTTGTCTTCTACCTTTAGAGCAGTGGTTTCCAAACTATTTTTTCTCTGCGCCACATTTTCAGAATGAAAATTAGCTCATACCTCACCAAAGGAGTCCCAGTGAAAAAGTGCAAGTGTCCCCATGGCAAAGAAGGTCCAGAGTGAAGGCTAAAGGGAGATAACTGCAGATTTGATGTAGGAACATTGTCATTGATAACTCTCTCCTCCAATTTGTGGACTCTAGTTACTATATTCTCAATACTTGATATAATGCAAAAATATCACAATGATGAAATCAGTCAGTAATTATTTATAACTATTTATACTGGGACTCATGCATGCAATTACGAGTAATCCATAATAATATTTTAAATTTATTTTTGGCATATGAATTTCTTTAAATTGCTTTTAAATCTTAGATTATCTTTCAGTCATTCTGCCTCACCTGCTATCCTCTTCCACCACACAGTTTGGGAACCACTGCTCTAGAGGTTCTAATTAGCTCTGGTTAAGCATTTCACTTCGCAAGGTCTTCTATCAGACAAACAATATGGCTTTCAGTTCTCTAGGTTAACAGCTGATGTGTTAATGCTTATTGCTGAAAGAATGTCAAGCTTCAGATAAGAATGATAAAACAGGCTGTTGGTAAGGTTACATAAATGATAAGGTTGTATATTGTACAGTTTAAATTTCACAATGTAAATGTCAGAGGAGGTAACTAAGTTTGAAATGTCCATATGTTTAAACAAAGAAATAACTATTAGTTAAAACCTAAATATCTTAAACTATCTACTGTAAACATTTTAAAACATTTGTGCAGTATTCATAATTTTATTAAGGGTTGGTTTCAATTTTTTAATATAGATAACTTCAAGAATTTTTAGTTCATGTTTATTATTTTCATGAAAAAGTATAGATGTATTTTCATCAAGAATTTTTATAAATTGTGAATATAGACTGTCATGCTGTTGTAAATATTGTGGTGTGTTTGATGCATCATTCAGATGAAAACTCAACCATCAAGACAACGTAGTAGTAGTAGTGTGACTAACATAAAAGGTGTTTGGCATTCTGGTTTTTCTCAAGTTGAAGGATTATGGTATTTCTGGGTGATGTTTTCAATTTGATACAATCTTATTAAATTGCAAAATGAAAATTGTCTTAACAGCAATCTACTCGATCTTTTTACATTATCCTTGGACATATTTTTTTTCTTTTTTCTAATTTTCAACAATTACCTTCCCAGCTCCCAATTTAGTATCTATGCTGATGTATACAACTATTTACTGTCTGATATGTTTGATAATGTCAAATTGCCAGCTTATATAAAAAATGACCTTTAACCTGTTGTTAACTGGGGCCAAAAATGATTTGTTAATTTTAATGCCACCAAAATTAAACTGCTCTTTTTTAATTGTCTTCAAGAACCTTTGTTTCTTTTCGGCACCATAGCTGATATTGATCTTCAGGAGATTGACTCACTCCCCCTTCTGGTGCTGTTTTCTACTGACATGAAGTATAATGATTGTATTAAATTGCTAGGTCATCTGCTTGGAAAATTGATTCACAATGTCATGCTAGACAATTTTTCTCACCAGAATCTGTCTTACAACTTCATAAATCTACCATTTGTCCATGCATTGAATATTGTTGCAACATCTAGTCTGGTACTTCTGCTATTTATCTAGAGATTCTTGACAAAATCCAAAGAAGAATCTGCAATGTTATCAGTCCTGACCTTGCATCTTAGCTTCAGTCATTTTCCCTAGGTCATAATGTAGCTTCCCTAAATATATTTCCATTGGAATTGTTTTCTGATAAGCTTTCATTGTAAGTTCAATGCTTGCAGTTTCTTCTCTTGCACTTCTCACTTGTGGAACTTCCATCTGGTTCCTTGCTTTTCAATCAACATTGATCTTCAAAAATTCAAATGCAGTCTCAATTGTCATCTTCTGTCTCCTTGAATCCTGTTGTTTTATTGTTGCCTCTCTTCAATAATGTGTTTTTTTTTGTTTTTGTTTTTTTTTTCTTACACGCTCAGTAACCCTTGGTCCTTAGTGGTTTTATAGTCTTTCTTGAAGTGAAGTGATTAAAAAAAGATTTTTTTTTTTTTTTTTTTTTTTAATTAGAAAAGCTTTTAATTTCTTTTATGAATAATCTTGAGGAAAAAAAAAATTTTTTCAATGAATAATGATTTTTTTACAAATTGTTTATATTTTTTTTAAATTTTAATTCAAATAGTGTATATAATTTTAAATCTTAAAATTCTGTATTAATTTGTACCAGCTAAGTGAGATTTTTATTAAATTGAAAACTATTTACTAATCATAAATGAAAAAGTTCACTACAATTCAACAACACCCAATATTTTAAAAAGAATTTTGAATATTGTTCTTGTGTATGTATAAACATGTCAATTTTTGTAAATACAGACATCCATACATAAAATGATCAGAAAATTAAAGGTCTCTCTCTTTCTCTCTTTTTTTTTTTCCCAACACACATCTTTGTAACTAAGGCTATAAAGATAAAGTACATAAAATTTGATAAAATACCGTACCAATATTCAGAGAATTTAAATTGGTTGTTAGTTATTTTAGTGCATCATTTTATTTACTGTTATTGCCATGTTACACAAACAGTAGTCAATGATGTTCAAAAGATAGCAGTTTTGTTTTGGAGTGATTCATATTCTGTAACTTGATTCTTTATTTCAGAATTTTTTAATTTATCAAAAGTAAATAAATTTTTTTTAATTTTCTGAAATCTCCATCTTTTTGTCATTGACAGCAACAGACAGACAAGATGGATTTTGACATGACTCAAGTGGTCACCCACAGTGATACGGAAGGTGAGGATGAAGAAAATGAAAAAAGTGCTCCTGTAAGTTTAATGGGACTTTTCTTTAACATCTATTTATTTAACACTGTAAGAGAAGAACATCACATCATTGAGTTGATTAGCAATTAGTTACAAAAGACATTGTGGAATTTTGTAAATATTAAGTTCATGTAACTGAAAATAGAGACACAGTGCATTGATGAAAAAATAAATTATGGTTGCAGGACATAATTGACATAGTAAATCCTTTATGGCTGGGGATTAGAAGTGAAAAATTCCATTAATGTGATTGGTTTTGTATAAATTCCTAAGGTTATAGGGCCCCTAAAACACTCATTCTTAGTCTGAGATATATGCAGATATATAAATCAACATTTAGCAGATGAACTAATATTAAAAAAAAAAAACAAACACAGAACATCAAAGAGTTTTTTTTTTGTTTGTTTTTATTAACTGAACATGTTGGGTGAACATTTTCACAAGTTTCAAAAATGTATGAGTCAATATAAAATCCAAAAGAAGAGAATAACAGCAATTTCTTGTTCAAATTAACAAGGCTTTACCAGGCACCTGATACAAAAGAAAGCTGACAGAAAGTACTGGCAGGAATTAAACACGGCTCTAGGGTGGAACCATTTTTAACTTTTCAGAAAGTTCAAGAAAGATTTTGAAATCTTGAAGCAGTTCTGACCTTTCTAAAAGATTAAGAACTGTTACATTAAAGTATATCAACTTCATGCCAACGCCATAACTCAAAGTTAGATTAAAGTTTTAGAATACTTCTTTTTTTTTTTTTTTAAAGATTAATTCATATTGCAAACTAGTTTAGCATATCAATAAAATTGACCTTTTTTTTTCTAGTGGCTACTTTTCTAATTGAATTGTAAAATCAGGTGCCTATTGGTAGTCTTTTACATTTTTACGACATTAAAGAAATTAGAATAGGTACCGCCACTAAATTTTCGATAGCTAATGTTTAAAATGAAATTTTAAAAAATGAAAACGCATATCTTTTTAGCTTTGATTGAAAGCTAAATGAGTAAATTTACTATTTCTAGTAAGCAAAATACTCTGGTGTATTTCAAATAGAAATTATATTGTTTAGAATTTCACCTTTTTACTTGCTTTCAGTGAAGTCATTAAAATCGGCTATTTTTGACATATTTGTAAACAAAAGTTAATTCTCAGTTTTTAAAAATCTTCCAAAAATAAAATATACTTTTTTGAAACTGTATTTGAGGAATATTAGCTGATTTAAAGTATAATTAATTCGATTTGAAAAAATATTTAAGTTGAAAATAACAGAAAAATGTTTTTTTAAAACAACAGCGATGATTACTCATAGAGCACTGATAAGATGTTGACATGTTTACTGTTGTTCTATGGCGACTTTATCTGTTAAAACTTAAGAAAATGACTGAGTTCCTTTTTTTTATTATATATATAATTTTTAAGTACTATGTTGGAAAATATTTTCTAATTTTAGGAATTTAACTTTAAATTTACTATAGTCATCACTTTTATTGTCTAGTCTCGTATGGTCGACCAAACTTTCAAACAGAGGCATGTTATGTAATATTTTATGTACTTAAAAATAATTCTTAAGACAATAGTGTCCTTAATAAATCTTATAAAAGCAATTAAAAGATTTTCTAATTAAATAGTGTCAGTTTTATTGCATTTTTTTTATTTTACAATTTGGAGCAGATTTTCAGAAAATGAGTAGTAGTTTGAAAATAAAATAAAGGTTAAATTTATTTTCATGAAATTAGGTGGGCTGGAGGGGTATTTAAAAAAAAATTCATAAATAATTTCATTTGTGAATAAGTCCTGAAAGTTTCATTAAAATCTGACAATTATTTGATTTTTGCAAGAATTTCCAAATCAATGTGTTTTTCACCTGAATAAAGGATACTAAAACACTAATCATAAATGTTACATAGACAAGATTTTTAACCAAAATTTCAAATGTGCTAGAAATGATTAAAATTTTAATAAAATAATAAAAAGCATTTTGGTCTAACTTCTTAATAATAACATAAACATTTTGACAATAAAATTTTGTTTTTAAGTTTGTGACTTTTTTTTTTTTTTTTTTCATTATGCTATTCTTTTTTCAGCAAAAAAGTGGAGGTACCTAAATTAGAACAATGTCATATAAAAGTGTAATTGTAATACAAGAATTATCCACGTTTAATCTACTAAATGCTTTTTGTTTTTTTATGGTAAAAAAGACTATTTTGTACTATTATGAAGTTTGTCATTTTTCAAATAGACTGGTAAAATCATCATCAACTATGCACAAGGAAGAAACTTCAAATTTTCTTTTCTGGCCAGTATTTTACTCACTAAGCTTTTTTTAATAATTTCACCCCAAGCATGGTGATAAAACCAGTAAAATGCAAAGAGTTACTGAGAGTGAAAGAATCTGAGAAAACTTTGGAAAGAGATAGAGAGAGAGAGTATATACAAGGAGAGATGATGATGATGATTGCATTTAAATTTTTGACGGTTGTAGTTGTCTGGAAAGCAAGAAACCAGAGGAGAATTCTAAAAGTGAGTGATGTAAAAGTAGAAACTATTAACATAAAACTTACACTTAAAATGATATGTCCTAGATTCCAATCTAGGACTGCACTTAAATTTGTGAAGTCGAAGTATCAAAGAGGAAAGTGTAACAGAACAATTACCATGAAAATATTTATAGATAAGACACTTGAAAGCTACATCATGGTAAAGTGACTGAAGCTAAGATGAAAGGTCAGGACTGATGACATTGCAGATTCTTTGGATTTTTATCAAGAATCTCTAGATACACAGCAGAACCACCTGATCAGATGTGACAGCACTATTCAATGCATAGCTGAATGGTTATATAAAATTTTCTAGCACTACACAGTGAACGAACTTTCCTAGCAGGAAACTTAGCAATTGATTCAGTATAATTGTTACATTTCATTTCAGTGGGGGAAAAAATTGTCGCTTTGAATTCTACTGATGTTATTATGAATTGACAAATGTTTTCTGTAGATATCAAATTGTGACAACTTAGGCAAGGGATATTTATACCATATTTTGATGTAAGAATGATGTTCTCACATTTGAATTTTTTAATTAGTCATGTTTTTCTGACATTATTTACCACACTTGGTTTAATTTCCACACACAAGGCAACAAGTATATGGGCCGCCTAGTAAGGAACAAGTAAATTAGCTTGATAACCATTATCCCATGCTAAAGAACCCATGTTTAGTGTTGTATTGTTTCATTACTGCCAATTCTTAAGATGTTAGGGCTTACAACTACATCACATTGAAACGCCAATTCCCATACGATCACCAAAGTTAAGCAATGTTGAGCTTGATCAGAACCTAGATGGGTGACCATTTGGGAATAACAGGTTCTGTGAATTTTGATGTGCAGATGGTGTAATGGATAATTGCTTGAAATTGTTAATCGATGAACAGTTCAAATTCCCATTGGGTTTGTTATATACATTTACATGCAAATTATTCTTGTATGAATGCGCCTTTTCTCTCTATGGAGGGGGGTGTCACTGAACCATTATCCCCCCCACACACACACACACACACACCAATTCTTACAATCTAAAAAAATATTTCCAGGCTTTAAATAACTTGCAAAGAATCTATAGGCTGTAGAAACTGAATAAATTAATCAATAAAATGTTAGTTTTTTTGTTTTTTTTTAGCTGATAACATTTATCATTACTAACCATGTAAGGACAGCTGATAAAAGTAAATGTAATTGTCTCCTGTCCCAGGTACAATTAGCTGTTTGGCAAGTGATTATTCTTATAATAGAAATCCTGATTATTTTTTTTAGTTTCATTGTTTTACAGATAAATTCTTGGTATTCAATTTTGTCTGGGAGTTTTACTCTCATTAAAGTTACAAGTATATAAATACCCGAAGATCTTCAACATTCTATATAGCTGGAAAGAGAAGTGGCTGTTGGCTGTTGGTCAAACCCAGTCACGTCCAACTTTCAATTTTAATACTTATTGGACTATGAATTTTTTTTTTTAATGTGAAACAATTTTTTCATATACATAGGATAAAAGGGGCTCTGGATTTATCTTTACTGGAAACAGTCACTATTAGAAATTAGTACATGTGTTTCTTATAACATCCATATTAACCAAGATGAGAACAATAGTTAAAAGTAGTAGAAGTAGGTACCTCCATGAAATTGCAAAGAATCAGCATACCGAGATGAAAATTGGCTCCAAACATAATGAAAATAGACTTTTATTGTCAAAATCTGTTATTAAGAGGAAAGATCAAAGTATTTTTAGAATATTAAATTTTTTACTCCTTTTCAGAACATTTAAAATTTTGATTAAAAAACTTTTTTGTTTTGTTTGTTTGTTTGTTTGTTTTTTTTTTTTTCTTCTTGCTTTAGCAGATGTACTATATTTTAGTATAGCAAATTTTAACATTTTTTGTGGTGAAAGACACATTAATTTGGTAATTCTTACAAAGATGAAATAATTGTTGTATTTTAATTAAATTTTCAGGACTTATTCACAATTAAATGAATTAAATTTATAGCATATTCACTTTCGCCCAACCACAAAAAATGCTCTCAAATTGTTGACCTTAAATGAAAGAATTGTATTTCAAAGTGCAAAGAAATAAGAAAACCAGGAAAACAAAAATAGATTTATCTGAAAATATTGTTTTAAACACCATAAGTGTATCTTGAATATGTGTGATTATCTTGTTCCTATTCACTTATAATTGGCCTGTGAAATACAAGTATTTATTTGTATGTGAGGATGAGGAGAATTGTATGACAATTCATCCATTCTTTTGGACTTTCATTCTTGTGTTTTTGCTTTAAGTCTTTTTTCAGCAAATTTTGTTGATCTTTTTATTTTATTTTTTCTCTCCAGGTTGCCCACATCAAAGTGCTCAATCAACCATCCCTGAAAAAGAAGCTTTATCCCATACACAAAGGTCAGTTGTCATTTAAAACAGCTTGTGTGTGTGTGTGTGTGTGTGTGTGTGTGTGTGTACACATGTTGTAGATACACTGCTGGCCAAAATCTTAAGGCCAATGAAAAGTATTTAGCCTAATTTCCCAGAGTTCAAATTTTCTTTATTAAATGCTAAAATGGTTTTTAGTTTTTTATTTTTCCTTTTCTTATTTTCATTTTTTTGAAGCTCTACTCAAATAAGTGGTTGAGTCTTAACAATGCAAAAGGTACATAACTTTTCCCTCATTTTCATTGGCCAGAAGTGTACATTTTTCTCTACAGATAACCAACTAAGAAGGATTTCTAAAATCTTTAAAAAAAAAAAAAAAAAAACTGTTTCCTGTATCTGTTGCAGTCTCTGTGGAAATATATGAGGTATTACTTGCAGTAACCCATGTAATCTTTGGGTGTATCCGTTTTACATTAAATTCATACACTATTTACATTATTCGGACTATTGTCCTCATCTTTGTTGCCATATTTATCATATTTCGACCATTGTATGCTCCGGACTTCTTCAGGTGATTGGAATGTCGAACTGAATCCTTTATTTCACTCACTGGGATAGACTGTTCTAGTTCCACATGCCATGTCTAATGGATGTCAGTTATCCCCTGTTAATTCCCCTCCCCAAGTTCTCCAGCGCCTTAACCAGGTATTGAACTCGCACTCCTTGGGTCCTGTCACTGGATCTAACTAACGCCTTTATCCACTGTGCCATGTGTCCTTTAGACATGGCACGTGGAACTAGAACAGTCTACCCCAGCGAGTGAAATAAAGGGTTCAGTTTGATATTCCAACCACCCGAAGAAAACCAGAATGTACAATGGTTGAAACGTTGTGATAAATATGACAACAAAGATGAGGACAATAGTCTGAATAATGTAAATTGTGTACATAATACCTCATCTCAGAAATATAGTCAGATACAAAATTCATAGTCTTGCCTCTCAACACCCTTTTAATTAAACTTGCTAATGAATTAGCCATCTCTAACATCAGGATTACCAAGCCCCCACCCCACCCCCCACCACCATCTCCAAGACAACCAGGGATATAGTCAGGAAGGGAAATAAGCCAAACACCATTTCAAATGCTGTAGACACTTTATCTAAGAAAGTGTCTACAGTGCAAAGGTGTTTATATGGGGGAAGACATCACATGATCTAAAAACCTGAATGTATGAACGCAAGAGAGACTTGCATTTAGACAAACATTCTAACTCTTTCATCTTACGCCAAAATGACATGGAACATAACTTTAATTTCACTAATGCCAGCCTTATTTAAAAAAAACAAAAAACAAAACAAAACATAACCCTTTAAGTAGAGAATATTTTGAAACTATATTCATAGCATTGCTACCAACTATAAACACTCACTTAAAAAAATTACATTATATCACCATTTTTCTACAGACCCATTCTTCATGAATTTAACTTATGTCTAAAATAATGAGAATTTTACAAATTGCCCTTTTTCAAAAATACGCATATTAAATCTAACCAAAAACTAGATTATTACAATATCTTACTTCGTTTCACCAACCCACACAGAGTTGATGTCCACATGCTATCCTCACACACAAGAATATAAAAATCCAACCAAATACTAAATTGTTTTGCATCATATCACTATATTTCCCCAACAAAATACGAGAGTAATACCTGCTGACTTCTTTCATATACACACTCATGCACTTACATGAATTAACATTACCATCCTACATACACCTACACACACAAGCGTTTCTTTACTTTTACACTATCACACATGTTAACATCCTAAAGGTTCCTCACACATATTTATATATTATCTGTTGCATTTATACACATGATGCGTGTCTGACCAATGAGAACTACCAAAAATCATAACATTCCAGTACTCTGTCTCTTTGCTTTTTCATTTCTATTCTCAATCTCTGATGAACCCTTAATAAAAGTGAAACAAGTTAGATTGAGATTCATTTCCTACTTTGTTCTTTATTTCATTTTATCATCATGTCAGATTCCTATCCATATCTGATCTACGTTTGATTTTCATATATATATATATATATATATATCCCTAAGTATGTGATTGGTGTATACGGAATGAATTCCAATAACCAACAATTACTATTCTTAAAAGAGTGCTCAATACAGAGTAGAGCAAATATAATTATTTATTTAAAAATTATAACATAAATATTTATGTTATAATTTTTAAATAAATAATATATATATGATGAGAATGAGAGAGGCTGAGTGGTAACTCTGGGGAATTGCTTCACATTATGCATATAATTCTTTGGTGGTGATATGATGGTGGCAACATTAATCAAATGAATATTCTAATATACCTGCTGACCAATTTCTGGGCATTCATGTTGAACAGATGCTCACTAAGGTTCACCCATTGTTAGGGCATCAGTGGGAAATGTTGCAGTAGCAGTGTCAACCCAGCCTGTTGGGAATCATATTTGTTTGCAGCAGAACTACATACACATATACCTTGAGCCAGACTTCCACTTGTACTACAACCTTGTCATACATGTATTCAATGATATCGCAAGATGGTTCCCAGGGAGATCAAATGACAGTTTTGAGAGCTGGTTCCACCTTCCTACAAGTGATGGCTATTTGCATCTGTTACATAAACCTGCAGAGTGACATCTTTCAGTGTCTACAAGTTCACTACCCATCACCCCTTTAGGACAAGATGATCTAATTTCAAATTTATATTGTTTATTCAGTTAAAATACTACATTTATTAGAAAATATATTCAGTTTAGATGCAAATTGAGTTACAAAAATGACTTCAAAGGCTCACACATTTTGGCTTTTACTCTTTTCCTGTTACCCAGGGGTAGTTGCCAGATACAAATGGAAATTAGCATTCATAACATAAATGTTCATTTCAGTTTCATTCAAGTTGTGTATATGTATGTTTTAGTATGTGCATGTGTATTTTAATTCAATAACAATCGTAAAAATATTCCGAAAAAAAATTTTTTTTTAAATTTTAAAAAATACATCTTTTTCTGAATAATTTCTGTATAGATCAACAAAATCTTATCCTCTTTTTTTTTTTTTTTTTCTCTCTCTCCCCAACTTTGATTTTATTTGTCAACCCTGGGAAGGAGTTGTCCAAACTGAATGGGAGGGGAATGTACTATTCCAATGCCTTATTTCAAATATAGTCAGTTGTCTCTCTCTCTCGCTCTCTTTTATTTATCGTACAGGTAATAGATCTGTTGGTATATAATCCAGGTGGATCCTAGTAATATTAGATATTAAAACTGATCCACAGAGAGCTTAATGTTTTTATTATAACAGAGTATATATTTTATACAGCAAAAACTCCAAAATTACCTCATGTGGGTATAGTCTATTTCAGATCAGCACTTCTATATGCCAGTCTTCATCAGTCCAAGACGGCCTCAGAACGGTGGCTTTTGAATTTAGTTTAGATAGCATTCGGTGACAATGTATCGGGCCACTTAAGGGGACGCCTTGTTTTGATAAGTTGTCTGGGTTGGTGACAAGGAGATGGGCTGGGGTTGGGAGTTTATTTAGGTCTGACTACATGAATTTAAGCATACTACTAGATTGTCATCTATGTCCCACCTGTTTAATGTTGAAATAGCTAAATGCAACCTCCGCTTCTACTCCAACAGTTTCTTTTCTCGCACTGCCCACCTGTAGAACTCTCTTCTGTTTGTAGTTATAGCAGGGAAGCAAGCAATCTTCAAAAATTTAAATGCAACATCAATCACCATCTTCTTGAATCCTGTTCATCTTTTGTCCTTTCTTCAATCCTCCTTATACTTGTTCTTTTCTCTCATTTTCACTGCCTGTACCCCCCCCTGCATACTAGTGGCATTTCCACCTTGCTTGGGGTGAAATGATTATTAAAAATATATTATATTTCTGTTACCCCTCTTTTTGATATGAATTTCTTTTTTATTTAGTCTGCTTTATTTGCTCTAATAAAATTTGCAAATTACCAAGTTCTTTTTAGTTGTATAAAATGAATCATTTGAAAATTAATTTTCTAAAAAAAAAAAAAAAATTTTTTTTAAGTCTTTTCACCCCAAACAATGCAAGAAAGTCACTAAGATGCTGGAGGTTACTGACTGTAAAAAAAAATGTTATTAAGAAGCAAGAACATTAAAAAAAATTAATTTTTAAAATTCATTCAGTCTGCCTGTTTTGTCTTTTTAGGTGATAATACAGTTGGAAGGCATGATTTATGTCAAGTTTCCATTCCTGTCAGGGTAAGAATTCACTGGAATTTTCCTCTATACATACTTTGTCCCTTCAACTCAGTAAGGAAGAGATTTTTTTAAAAAGTTTAATTTCAGAAACTCTTTCTTTTTGTTTATACATTGTTTATAAACTTGTTTAATATATTCAATAATGTCTGATTAGAGCCTAAACAGAACTGCAGGAATTGCTTTGACTTCAGTTAAATAATTGCATGAAATTATCATTTGCTGTTTTAAAATGATTTCATTCATTTTGCTTGTATATTTCTTGTGAATGCAACACTATAGAGATTCATAAATGATAAACTTTTGGAACTATGTACAAAATGTCCACATTAAAACCAACCTTGTGTCAAGTATCACACTGTCTATTATTGGTCATAACAATATTATGACTTCTTCTAATAATTTTTTTCACAAGAATTCTTTAATCAAATACCCTGCTTCTTATTTTATTTTAAAACAAAAATCATTTGGTTGAGTGACAAAGTTAAATGAATCCACAACTTTTTGTTTTTTTTTTTTCATGTGTGTGTGTATATATATATATATACATATATATATATATATATGTAATTTTTTTTTTTTTTTTTAAATATTTTACATCACAACATGAAATTTCTATGTTTGAACTTTAAATTTGTTCCATTATGAAGCAAGGTTGGGTAACTTTAGGAAAAAATAAAGCTACCCAAATAAAATATTATGCCCTACATTGTATCACGCTTTTTAAAAAAATTAAATGCTAAAGAACTGTGGATTCTTAATCTGATTGTTCTTTTTCTTTATTTGGATATATATATATATTGTCTTTTTTTTTTATTTATTTATATTTTCCAGTCATTATCTAAAAAACATGCCTGCATTGAAGTCCGAGGTCGTTCACATTTTATCTATGATATGGGTAGTCGCAACAAAACACGCCGAGGAACAGTATGTAAAAAAAAACTTTTCTTATATCCAGTAAGAATTATAATTTCAATATTCAAAATAGAAAGTATTTATTAAAAGGGGCCAAAAAGAACAATAATCAATTCAATTATTTCATTATTTAAACCTGAAGCCATACCCACCACTGTTTCAATAGGTATTTTTATTACCCAGATGTATATCTTCAGTCTAAGTGAATATATAAATAAGTATTAAAGTATTTTTTTTTTTTTTTTTATCATTTCACCTGAAGTAAGGCAGTAATGACACTAACACATGAAAGAATTTGCGAAAAAGAAAATCATCATTAAAGAGAAAGGACAAGAATTAAGACAGAAGATAACAATTGATATTGCATTTGCATTTTTGAGGGTCAAAGTTGACTGTAATGCAAGAAACTAAAAGACTTCCATAAGTGAGACATGCAAGAGAAGAAACTGTTGACTTGCAGTCACATCTCACCATTTCAAGGGTAAAATGATGAGACCTAACTGTCAATCTAGTACTGCACTTAAATTCAGGAATTCTAGGTACCAAAGAGGAATGCTCATCAGAACAATTGCCATGAAAATATTTGTAGAAAAAGCACCGGGCAGCTACATTACGGCAATGGGAAATTGACTGAAGTCGAGATGCCAGATCAAGACCAATAACATTACAGATTCTTTGGATTTTATCAAGAATCACTAAATATATAGAAGCACTAGACCAGATGTATCAGTATTCAATGCATGGACAAATGCTAAATTATTACCACAAAAATTAGAATTGAGGTTGGCTTCAAAAACTAATGAGTATAAAACATATATCATTATTTGATTTAATGAGATACTAAGATGGATTTTTTATCATGTTCTTTCCATTATGAAAATATAACTAAATATAAAATGTCTTTCCAGTTGTTATTATTTGTTAATACAGGTTGAGAATCCTTTATCTGAAATTCTTTTGACCAGAAGTACTTCGTTTTTTAGATTTTGGAATACAGGTTATTTAATTTGTATATATAGCATCTATAAAATGGGTCAGCTTGGGAATGGAACCCAAGCATAAACACAATATCCCTTTACATTTCATAACATTTCTTATACATATACCCTGAAGGTAATTTTATATAAGCAGCATATGTTTACTCTGACACTGTCGAATCCACTCCAGCAATACATGATCGAGATCATCATTTTTTGCACTGTGCAGTGTTTTTCTATTTTTCATTAATTTCTGTTCATCATGTTCAATATAAAACTTAAACAATTTCTCCTTCTGTTTCCTTACGTCGTATATGGTGGTTGTTCCAATGCCAAACTCCTTAGTCAGATGTTTCACACTTCTACGCCTGTCTAGTTTTTCAAACAGTTTGACTTTCTGTGATATTGATAAACATAAATGCTTTCTTTTTTCTTTTCTTTTTTCTTTTTGCTATCTATATGGTTATGTACTGGATCTTTTGACATTTTGAATAATATCTTTACTTTAGTACAAAACACCTGGTAAGTAATCCATGAATGAAGGTGTTGCTGTGATGATCGCTAACAAAAAACTGGCCCCAATATAAGTTATATAGCTGGGCTGGTGAACCCTCACCCAGGGCAGTTGGGGTCATTTACAACAGCTGCACATCACCTAGGGACCTTCCCAGTGTTTTCTAAATTTTTTCATTTGTGGCAAGTCATGTCAGCTCCTGGAAAACTTTCAGATTTTGGAAGTTTTTATATTTTGGAATTTCAGATAAAGGATACTCATTCTGTAGTAAAATAAAAAGCATTCAGATTATCTCCCTTGAATATATTACTTTAAGAACTTTATTCTGCATTTTCAACAACTTATTCACTATACATCTAAAGGAAAGATTTTCTCCTATCTAGACATTGTTGCAAACTTATTTTCTACACTTGACTAAATTTTGCTTGAAGAACACAGAATAAACTAGTATGAGTAAGTAAAAGAAACCATTTTTATACATTTTGATTGTCAATTTCAAAAAAGTGTTTTTTTCTGTTTCAGCATTACTTGACACCTGAAGTACGTTATGAATTAAGGAATAATGACATGGTGGTATTTGCAGATGTCAGCTGTATTTACTTGGTAGAAGACGTAAGTATTTTTAAAGTATGTTTGGCCAGGTAATATCTGAAAAATAATGCTTTAATCTTGAACCATTTACTATAAATTTTAAGGCGTGTATTTTTATATAATTTTCATTTAAATTTTAATAGGTATCAATTAATTTATCATAAAAATGGTTCTTCTTCAGATTCTGTATATTTAATCATTACTTATAGGTTTCTATCATCAATCACAGAAATTGCTTTGGCACAGGGGATTCATATACCTCCCCATTTTGCTAAAAGATGAAAGTGCTTGTCTCTAGTTCTGCCAAATATCTGTTGATGACCTGGCTTATTCTTTTACTGCTGATCCCTAAAATAACTGCATAGATATTTATTTTATCTGCTTCTCAACCATCAATATAGTATCTATACATTTTAGACTGAAATATCACTAGACACTTCAACCATTTTGGTGTGATGCAAGTATAGAAAAGGCCTTAAGATCACAAAGATAGACTTAATAAGCAAAATAGGTTTATTTGTACACAAAATCAAATGTTTTCTGCTATTATGTGGAATCTCTACATTTATTGGGTTAGGAATGAGTTCCAGAAATCCAGATATTTAAAAAAAAATCTCCAAATTGTACAAAGATTTAATTTAATGGTTAGTTTTTTGTGTAATTTTCTGTGTCTTTCATCAGAAAAAGGAATTTAACATGAAGTATTATATATGAACTTACTGAAAATTTATTTAAAATGTTATGACATTTTTATTTGGTTACTTTAAAAAATATTGTTGGAATACTTTTGAATATGGGATATCCCCCTCCATCTGGTACACCCTCCCTATCATGTCCGATTCAAATTTCAATTACTGCCAATGATTTATCAGATGTCAGAGCACAACTGACATATTGGTCTGGGCATTTCCACAATCTAAAAGTAAAGTGGCGACCTCTGCCATTACCTTTTAGATACTTTTATCCATTGGCTTTTGGCACGCTTATATATATATATATATATATATATATATATATATATGATTCTCCCAATGGATTGAGTCCTAGGTCACTGCCATGTTTATGAGAAATTAAATTCTCAAAAATTAGCCTTTCTCTATGCTGGCCGCCAATAGCCTGAGGGTTGGAATCTCTGACTGATGCCAAATCATTCTGGGTTTGGCCCCAGCTTGAAGTGATCAGATGTCTGGCCACAGTGATGAGCTGTGATAGAGCCAAACAATCTGTGTGTGTGTGTGTATATATATATATATATATATATATATAGACATTGAAGGACAATGGTCTGTTTCAGGTTTTGAGTATAATCTGCAAGCTATCTGACCTGAAGATTGCATGAGACAGACTGTTGCCACTCAGCATTTTACTCATAAATAAAAACTATCTTAAGAACAATTTTTTATCACATATATACATGGTGCACCATTTTATATTTTTAATTTCACACATGCTCGTTGTTTATTTTTGATTTTGTCAACTACACACTATGGTTGGGTACCATCTGTGAGAAAAAGGGCACCATGACACAATTTACTCCGCCAGATATTTGGAAACAGCATACTATACTGCTTGGCATTCACAATGGAACCTCCAATACAAACATTTCAGAGTGTTTGTCTCTCAATCTGGGGACAGTGCAAAATATTTGGATGAGTCAAATGGTGATTTTGAAGGTACGACAGCTCCAAAATCTCATTCTGATAAGAAAAGAACTCCTAAATTTGTTGGTGATGACTTCAGACAACACAGAGGCCTACATCAAGTGCTTTGAGGAGGTAGTGCTGCCTTGCATCAAAAGGGTGGCTGCTGGACGACCCTATGTCTGACGACAGGACTCTGCACCATGCCACATAAGTAGGGGAACATAGTCATGGCTGTCAGACAATTTCTGTGACCATATCACAATTTACATCTGGCAACCTAACTCCCTAGTTTACAGCCCCCCCCCGATTATTATGTATAATATATTTCCATCTTTTCCTAGTATTTTTATATATATATATATATATATATATATATATATATATATATAAGGATATTAAGCTAAAAAATGTCAAAATCAGTATACAATTGCAGTTGTATTTCGATGGGTATCAATGCATCTCATCAAGCAATTGTAAATTACTGGCAGTAATTTACAGTCACCTGATGAGATGAATTGATATGCATGAAAACACGACATGATTGATTTTGACATGTTTTTGATGTATGTCCTAAAATAAATAATATTGCTCTACTTTGTATTGAGTCCTCTTTTAAATTAAATGTTACAAATGTTGGAAGTGTACTGTATTTGTTCTTATCTTACCTGGATATAAAGAAATATAGTATTAAGGTGTGCTATATTTATGGGATAAAGTGCTCAATATCAGAGATAGAGCCTGTGTAAATATAAAAGTGAACATAGAAGTCAACACTTAGAGGCGACAGTCTGTTTCATGCTATATGCAATCCGCCAGGCCACATATGCTGTTATTTTTTCGGGCTATTTATATATATACGGGTTAGTGGTGCATTGTGGGTATTCTATTATGGCGGTTATTTTTTACCGGAAGTCGCTTTGTTTATTTATTTGGGTCAAATTATATTGCTCGTTTTTATTTTTTTGTTTTTATTTTATATATTTATTTCTTAACGTAGTAAAAAATTGTTTATATCACGTATTTAACAGTTTTGTTTTGGTTTGAGAATTTAATTCAAGCTATTTGTTCAATTTTGGGGTTTGGTGTTGTAGTTCATTCTAACTAGTATTTTTTTGGCGGGAACAGTTTTTAATTTGGGATTGGTTTGTCTGTATATTTTTCTTTTCGGTTTTTCGCTTTTTAAGCAATATAGTATTTATTTATTTATTTTATTTTATTTTTTTTTTTATTAGTGTATTTGTTTGTTTTTATTTTTTTCCGTTTTTCATTTTTTAGTTACGTAGTAAAAAATTTATTTTCATGCCTGCATTTTGAGATGAGCTCGGATCTTTTATTTAATAATTTATTTTGGTCGGGGAAAGTAATGATAGCTATTTTTTTCCTCCAAGCAAAGTTTGTAAGTTTTGATTGGTTGTTGTAGGCTGATGACTTTTTTTTCCTTATCTTCCAAGATATTTTTGGTGTGATGTGCGTTTTTGTTTTTTATTTCCCAGATATACTTAGAAAGCATAGTACTGTTCAAGATATTTACTATTTGTGAACGATGTTTTTGTGTGTATAATTTCTTTTGCTTCCAGGGTCCTTCAGTTACTCCTATATGTATACTTTTCTTCATTATCTGGTGATTTTATCGTAGTTTGGTATATTACGTTGTTTTGTAAACAATTTCCGTTTAGGGACATTCGTTTTATTCTGCAGTTGCACGTGGGTTTAATTTGTTCGTGTGGTTTGTTGATAATTTTCCTATTGTGCTTTTTTTATTATTTGTGCCATGCTCTCGGTGCAGCTGTAGCTGATTTTTACTGTGTTTTTGTTGAATATCTTGTGTAAGGTGCTTGATTCTGGGAAGTGTTTGTGTAAGAGTTTGAAGAATATTTTTCCTACGTTTGTTTTTACGTTCTTGCTGTACGGTGGGTTGAACCATATGATATTTCTTCTCCTGTTGGTCTTTTTGTATTCTGTGGTGAATATGTGAGTATTGCTGGGAATCCGCTTTATCTTTTAGGGCCGTTTCATAGTCTTTTCTTAGCTTTGTTGAATAGGGATTCATTGGAGGAATTGTCGGAGAGCCTGTGGTTAATCGATTTTTGGTATCTGTTTGATTATAGAAGGCGGATGGTTGGAAGATGTGTGTATGTAGAGTGGTTTATCGTTAGGTTTTCTGTATGGTTTATATGTGCCTTCTCTTAGGTTGAAGGTAACATCTAGGAAATCTACTTCTTTTAGATTAGTTTTTATATCTATGTTTAATCCGTTATTTTTAAAAAATCTTTATTATTGCTTTTCTAGTTTTGTCTGTGTTTTGTTTGTTACAGTTTCTTAAGATTATGAGACCGTCGTCCCTGTAGAGTCCTGTGTCATTTTTATCTATTATTTTGCTCAGTTCGTGTAGTAAATAAATACCTATGATTTCACATGCCTCTGCACCGTCAAAGCTTCCCATTGTAGTGTCAAATATCCCATCTTTCTTTATCCATGCTTCTTCGATTTGTGGAATAATAATGATTTACGGGAGTGCTTAATGATGTTGATTTCGCTTGGTTTTATTATTATTTGTTCCTGAGCTAAGTTGATGGCCTTATCTAGCATACGTTCTGTTATGGATGGGTAAAATTCTTTTATGTCTAATTGTAGGAATTGGCAATTTTGTTTGTTATTTATGTTGTGGAACCAGTCAATAGTTGTTTTCGTATTTTTCCACTGGTTTACTCCTAATTTCTTCCTAAGTTCAGAATTAATTCTTTCTAGTATTGTTTTACTTATTTTACCTAGTTCGCTTTTGGCTGGGTTTATGAGTCTGCATGCAGGATTAGTTTTGAAATTTTCTTTTATGGTCTTTTTAGTGTGATAAAGGCTCGTGCTTTGCTAATACAATTTATTCGGTCATCTAGGTCTAATTTTTGGGCGATTGTTTTAGCTTCCTTATTGATATCGTGTTCTGTTGTTTGGGGTGCCTTTTGTATGTTTTGGTTATGCTGTTCTTGAGTAATTTATTGTGTGTAGGAGGGCTTAGTTTGTATAAATTTCTCGTTTTGTCAGCAGCGATAAATACACTTGCTGAATATATATATATATATATATATATATATATATAGTCGACTCTCCTGTCGAGATTCGACTTATGAGGGTCAAGCAGATCTGTTTCCATGGAACCGACAACCTGACACCGGCACATGAGATTTGATTATAGTCGTGAAGGCTTCGTCCAGGGCCATCCACACTTTATGAAGGGACAAAAACAGAGACCTGGTGCACCGAGTGCCACAAGGTTCCCAAACAACCCTCCACAGGTTTTGAATTCAGAGTTGTCCTTCTCCTAGACCAGTTGCCATCCAAGGCTATAGAACCCAGTCTGTCCTGCTATTTTACCCATAGCTG